TTTTTTTTTTTTTTTTTTTTATACAAGAAAAATTCCTTCTTTGGAAATTTGCCTGCGGTCATGGTTCAAATAGTGTTCAGTTAATGTTAGCCAAATGGAGTTCAAACAGATCACTTACTCAAGTCTCTGCACCTGCTATCAGGGTCTGAATATTCATCCTTTCATGTGTCTCACTGGGAAACAAATTGGTTGCTATTAGTCCAGCAAACTTGACCACATATTTCAAACTTATGATCAGGATGCAACACCAACATCATACCAGGTTGTCACAAATATGGATCATGGAGTAGTTGACACAAGACTTAAGACTCAAAGACTCATTTTGTTCATGTAAAACAGTAAACATTGATTCTCTCCATTCATGAATTCTTTAAAATAAGCAATTCTGACTTCTTCAAATATTGAAACAGAATTAAAATTCCAAAGTTCCTAGAACACTACAGGAAGAGGCAGACTGGTTTTCAGATCATTGAGCAGGGAACTGCCAGCTTTAAGAGTCTGCCAACAGGCAAGAAGGGAATAATACATTAATAACCTCAGTACACTTCAATAATTGTTTAACAATTAGTCTTATAAAATATTACTTAAATATTTCCATGTGCATGCATGGACCATAATTTCCCCTCAGGCAGTATTAAAGTTTAAACTTCTAATGCCAAGTACTTAGTACTATTAAATATAGTTTCTTTTGGAGGCTGTCAAAGGACATTTGAAGACTATTTTCAACCTTAAAAATAAAGCTGAGTAACCACATAGTCAGCATTTTGTGAAGAGGACATGAATGAAAAGTCTTTATGAATTGTGTTTATACAAACATATAGGCTTGTAAACAAGTTGATATTGATACTAAATATTGGAAGAAAAACTTCAAACTACACAATCTGCATTATAAAGAGAAATTAAGTTATAAAAATTAATCCTATCTTAATTATTCCATTATTAAGTTAGGCACCTGGCAGAACTTGACCACACCGACAACACTGAACATTGTCATTTACACTAATGATTTCCTGGTAGAGCAAAAGCTACCTCACGGATACCAGAAGATTCCATAGTAACCTAAATGGGGAAAATGGAAATTATTTATTCCTCACATTCTGGGAACTCATCACTTTATCAAGATGATGTTTCGGGAATACTTTAAGGGCAGTATCTTTTAACTATAGTTTTATACAGAAATCACAAATGTCAGCAAAACTAATGTAAAAGTTATGCAAGTAGCATCCTTCTGAAAGTGAAAGCTTCATTCAAGTGTTTCTAGCAATGTTTACTAGCTATTCTGTCGAATAGCAGCTAGTTTTTATTTATAAACAAGCTTGCATAAAACTGTCCTACAAGTAAGCCATGAAAGTATTTAAGAAACCTAAGCTAACAAAAAAGCAACATGAACTATGAAATAATTGCAAACATTTTATCAAATTGTACATTGGAAAGTTACACAACATATACATTTAATCATAAAACAGCATTTCTTATATATTAATCAAACCCAGCTTCTACACTTTCTCTGATACAGTGATACTCAAAAATATTCAGTTTTCTCATCCCATTTAAATGAGTACACTTATCTTCTGTTTTTATAAGTGCACAGCTGCCTATTTGGATAGGAATTCCACACGGGTAAGACTTCCACCAGAACTTTCAATTACTTTTTTTTAACCTTGAAGGCAAAAGGCTGTCAACGGTAATAAACAGATAGTTCATCATCACTCATGTCTGAATCATCTTCATCCACTTCGCCTTCAATGACTGATTTCTTTCCTTTGCAGCATGATACAATTAATCCAATTAAGAAGACCTGCAATTTTAAATCAGTAGTACATGTTACTGTTATTCAATTAAGTGACATACCAAGGCAATACAAGTAAAACTGAACGCAGTGTTGTGATGCAAGTGATTCAGTGACAACTACAGTACACTGTTCAACTTGACTCAGTGATTTCTAAATCAAAGTACTTACTGTGATGAATGCCCAGTTCCCAAAATAATAGACAGCACTGAAGAACCAAAATTTGTGAAGAAAGAGGTATGTCCGAGTAACAATACACTGATCTAAAAGAAAAGTAGATATTAGTGATGTAGCATAAAATTACTGTAAAAACTATCTTGCAAGTATATTGGAATTAGATAATTCTGAAGCTTCAGACAGTATTCTGCTTTGAAGAATGATTCTACTCAGTTAAGTCAAATGCATTCTCCACCACCAGAGGCATATGCAAGAGGGATATTTGCAATTATGGAATAGTGAATGTGAAAACGAGTGGTATTAGAAATCGTCAGTTACACAGGCAAGGCCATTGCTATTGGGTACAACTTCTACAAATGCATAAATTTTCACCTGTTCTGACCACAGATCATTTATCACACTCACCCCTCCGTTTCAGAAGTACTGTAACCATACGTACAAGATGCAAAGCTGATGCCATACTGAAAAAATGCATTTCAATATACTTGCTGAAAAAGTCTCTCTTGATCAGGATTGCATAAGTTTTGTAAAAACAAATAGCAACTATCAAGTTGAGTTGTGAAGGGCACAAACTACGTACCAGGCTTTTTATGAGCCATACACCTCTGTCAGCATATGCTTTTATCAAGGCTAATGCTTCCACAGGTATGTTGACAGACACTAACAGTTAATGCATCTACTTATAGAAAAGCACCAAATCACTGTTTCCTGGAAACAGCGTTGTTCCTACACCCAGATCCTAAGCTTTATTAGTCACTTAAAATAGCAAGGGAGCAAATGAAGTTAATTTACTTTCGTTCAAGTTTATAGAGGTACTACAGGCAGAACAGAATCAGAGGAGTACATACTCCAGGCAGCAAACGCAAAGCAGCCAATGTGCGACATGAATAAAGCAATGAATATTGCAGAACTCCACAGGATACATGCCTTCTACCTCTGAGTCCTAAAGACATGGTTAAAATATAATTCAATCTGAAAAGACTTGTTCCATTTTCCTGTACATCACAAATCCTCCTTGATTTTTTATATAAGAGAATAACTTGTTCTGTCACAAGTGTTTACATCTAGTACTTCAGAAGTTGGATGTTTTAAATTTAGCTTGCAAAATATATAGTCCAGTAACACTTACTTTCCTTCCCAATGTAGGTATGATTGAGAGGTTCTCTAGAAGTACGGTCAGAACAGCTGATGAAAATAGCTGCATTTAATATTGTAATTATTACTTAGTAAACAGTCAGAATCAGGCATAGCCCAGTAGTTTTGGAATAAAACCTAAACTCATAGTTAAACTGATGAAGATACAGTTCGCTTGACACATCGTTATCCTCTTAGCAAAGCTGACCACAGTTACATTTCTGTACAAACCGCTAAGTGTAAAGTAGGCATATTTCTTCTGTAAAGATATCCCTTACAGCTTACTTTTGTTCCATGCCATATAACACAAGGCTCCACAGACACACCTATGCCGATGCTTCTCATTCTCTTGCTCACAGCAAAATATCTTGAGCAAAAAGGTCGCCCCTACTCATAGGAAAATAACGCAATGCCTAGAGATGACCTTTTTGCTTTCCTCCATTTTCCTTTAAGGTTCCTTAGGGTTAAAAGCTGCAAACCTTCATAAAAAAGGCTGTAAACCTGTAAAACTTTGTTCTGGGTTTTCACAAACATTAAACAAGGCATGCAACATATGAACAGGCACATTCTGCAGACAACAGCAAAACAGCTTCAGTAGAGAAAGCAAGTTTCTTCCAACACAAGTAGAATGGTTCAGCCAAGTGCCTTCCTTTGCCTGTGCTTTCAATCTGGGAAGTCTAGAATGATCTGAACAAAGAGAAAAAGCTTTGAGAGATTTTTCCCCCATCACACCACTCAATAGTACACACCCTACATAAGGGGAAAAGTGAATTGGGTAGCAAACTGTTCACAACGTTCCATTATTTCCTAGCATGAACATAGCCAGAAAACAAAAGTGAAGCTGCATTTCAAATAAGATAGAGAACACTGGTAAAGTGAAGACATAATTGGAAATAGGACAGTCAGCACCATCTGCAGCTCTCCAGCTGCTTACCTGAATTAAGGAACAGTTAAAGAGACCCTCAGATGGCTCTCTACAGTAATTAGACAGTAAGTATTTTGGAATGGATGACCTTGAAGAAAACAGTTCAGGAGAAAACATGTGTTACAGGTTCAACTAACGATATTGTAGTTATTCCTTCTGAACTAAAATATTACTAAGTAGGCTAAGGATATAAACGATGTTTTCCCTCTAAATTCTGTTGCACATTGAATAAATTAAATAATGAACATCCTAAAAATAAAGGTAACTACTTTTTATCCAGAATGATAGTCACAAATATTACTTTGATGGTATCTTGATCACTTAGAATAAAAGCATATATGGAAAGCTACCAAGACTGATAGATAAATTGTCACCACTTTAATAGTAGAGCATATTACATGGTGCTGACCAAGCACTAAAGCCAAACATCCAACATTAGGCTCAGTTTACTGATAATCTTAACCAAGCCTTCTTCCAAGAACTGAATTAGCTTGTTACTTAAGGAAGTCAGATTACAAGGATAAACAAAACTTTCCCCTTCATAAAGGGGTAGTTTAAAGCACACCTCCTCCATACTTAATCATAACTATATATTTTCTCAAAAACCAAAGCTTTTTTCTTTTGGATCACAGCTCCCACTGTGCTAGAAAAGTCAACATTAACATTCTTTTCCTTTCAAAACCAGGGTAGCATTTTTCATGTGCAAGCACTCACTTTGAAATGGATAATTCTGCAGCTTAAAAAGCTGAGGATCATAAAAAGTAACTATTCTTCACTATTTGTTTTGAATCATTAACTCCCATGCATTTGTTTAGGTAATGCAAAAGGAGTCCACAAATCTAAAAAGAGAAGCCAGAAACTGCCTATCCAATGCACTGAAGTTATCATGCATTTCAAAAATATTAGTGTTAGAAAATACCATGGCTGCCTGCCTAAATCCCCCACTCACACCACTCTTGGTGATATGGAACACCATTAGAAGTACCCATACTAATACATAGCTTGATATTAAAAACTTAACATAGAAAAAGTACTATAAATACAAAAGATAGGCAAGCCACATGCCAATTCATGCTGTACTTAAACACGAGAGCTGCAGATGTCTAGCAACTAATAAGAAAGCTGGGCAATGACAGGTACCCTTTAAAATTAAGGATGTGATTTCTGTATGCAAAATTCATAAGTTATACATGATGAAACTGTAAATATAAAGTATTATGTAAGATAAAACTAATTATGAACAATTACATCCAAAGCTACTTCCAGAGGAAAACCTGTAGCTTTACTGTCAGAATACATAAGCACAACATATTCCAGTTACTAAAAGCATTGAAGGCATGGTTTCAGGTACTCAAGAGCAACATTTCATACGGTGTACTGACAACCATTTAGAAGCAGAGTGTTGCAAAATGCAACTGCTGCTTACAACTTTAGCTTCTCAAGAAGGGTTTTGAGGTACTAAAAATTTAAGTTATGTTGCAAGTTCCAAATGGTTTGAGATCTCACCCAGGTAATTAAGGCAAAACTTGCATTTCCCCCCTTACTGGCATTATTTCTGGGCTACCCTCCAGCCTATACTACTACTCAAAATTCAATTGTGCTTCAACTTGAAGAACATCTATATGAAATGATGGTTTATACACACCTCCCTGGCACCTCAGACACAGCAGCACTTCAACAGTGGCATCTTAATATATATTCTTTCCAGATTTCTAGATACTGTTTCTCATTATGCTACTCATACCATGAAGCACCTGTTGTACGTGCTATTTACTGTCACTCATGTATGCTTTGCCGGGGTTACATGACCGTACAAGTATCAGCTTGTACGACAACAAACATTCCTACAGGAAAAGTCCATTCTACATTAGATTAAAACAAATCAATTGCCTCTGAAATCAAGTGAAAAATGTTAGTTTTGTACTATGGCCTGCCCCGCAACAAAGCTAAATTGCATTTTGATGAAAAGAGTAAGCAACTACAAGCAAGAATGGCTGGTTTTGAAAATTGTAACTTGTGGAACATTTAGTTGGATAGATGGCTTTTAGATTCATCTGGCTCAACTGATAGTGCCACTATCAGCTCCTTTCTCTGCCACAATGTACCAGTATTTTAAGTAAAAAGAGGAAAAACAAGTATTCCTATGAACTGAGCAGGTACAGGGCAAAGGCACTCAGATCTCCAGTTTGAAAATGGCCTCGGAGAAACATGCCTTTACTTATCAGAAACTATACAATGACACCAGATTAAGCAGCATTTGACATCACAGAGGTAGGGTAAAATAATCTATAAGGTTTTACTGGATGGAATGACGACTGCCAGATGGATATGCTCCTTAAGAAATTCAAGTAATATAAAAAGGATTAAAACTCCTGGAATAAAAATAAGGTAACAAAGGGTTCTAACAAAGACTCTAGTTAGAGAAAGGCAACATTTTCCTAGCAACAATATACTGAGTGTTTTCTTATACTTCCAGATGAAGTGTGCAAGATTAACAGACTAATCGTTGTGGCTATAGACTTTACGCTAGAATATACAGAAGTTTCAGTTTAGTTTTCTCTTGCAATTAAGATTATTAACATCAGGCATAGTAATCAAACTGACCAAGATACAGAACTGCCCATACTGCCAGAACCGCATGAGGAAGTTAACAGCAAAAAAAACAAATCGGCAAAAAAAAATACACCCCATAGACACACCACACTCTTAAGCTAAGGACACAAACCAAACCAGTGAACATTTAACACAGCACAAAACCCATCTTCCATATTCACCAGCCCATGGAATATCTAATTCCTTTTTTCCTAGGGAATAACAGGACTTCCACTTCTAGCATGAGTAGATAGAGGGATCAGAAACCCTTTTAACCAGAGGGAAGAGTGCTACAGCACCGTGACCCATCCTCAGAGATAAGTATATTGTTATTCCCATTTAATCAAAAAAAACAAACTTTCATACACAGAGGAGTGGAAATAACCACCAGGTAATGAAATTTAAAATCAGAAATGCTCTGCTAAAAATTGAAACCTCAAGAGACAGAATACCAACTTTCCTTCCAGTTCTGACTTGGGTCAGAGACTAAAGAGTTCAAATGGGCAAGTCAAAATAAGCTTCAGATATCTTCGGATATATTCAGATATCTCTCTCATCCTACTCAGCAAGTCTTATTTGAAGCTAGACAGGGAACAACCGTATTCAGGTTCATCAGCTGTAGTAGGAGGATGCTGCCAAAGATTTATGCATGGCTGTTCTTGAACATGTTATGTTATTAATTCATCAGCTGACAATGCCACAACACATTGTTTTGATTAGACCAGCAGAAGCAGCTCCAAACATACATTTACAGTAATCCCAATAATGGTGATGTAAATGTTTCAGTTATGAAAAGGTTTGGTGGCTTTTGCTATTCGCAGAGAGGGCAAATAGGATGCTCAAAGACCATCTTAGAACTGCCATTATTGAAAAGATCATTTTGTAGACCATGTTGGTTGCCCCTCTCCCCACAAAAGAGGCTCACATTGTGGTTAATTATTTAATAGGTGCATACCCCTCAATCCTTTATTATCAGGAGCTTCAACTCCAAAGTACTGACAGGACAAGAGCATTCCTATTTACTGTTAAGCTTAAATCCAACAAGCATAGGAACTAGGATGTTGATCTAAGACAACAATATAGGGTTATGACTGCTTTACTGCTCAACTCTGTTAACAGTTCAGAGAATTTAGCAAGTGCTGCCTTATCTCTCCAGTTAAGTTTTCCTGGAGGGAGAAGGAAAGAATTTAGAACAGCTCACAGCTGTCCACCATGAGGTAAGAATAAAAGCTATAGGATGATGTTTCTACAAGCGGGTGCCTGTAAACAATGAACTGCAGAAAACAGATTTAAGAGAATCATAGCTATTGATACTACTTACAGCTACTGAATGGGGCTGTCCAGAGTCAGATATGCAGTACTGAACTTACTTGAGTTCTTATAAACCCATGGTTCAACCAGTAGAGCATTTTTTTTTTTTTTTTTTAAGTCCTGCTGTATTTCTAGTTTCACTATGCTTTTAGTTTTCTTATACTTGGAGTTTGTAGATTTGGTGTTAATTTAGGCTAACATCTGTTGTATGTTTACAATGCCTGTAATAAGTTCACATACTTGACAAATGATGTTCTCTTGAATTCAGCACAACTAATCCCAAAATCTGAGAGAATTTCAGATGCTCCTCTATTGGCAAACACTGCTTTATGTTTCTTCAAAAAAGGTAAGTGTCTTTTTTTAGCAAGTAGAACATTAGTTTGAAACAAATGTATAAAAAGTATACCTCACTAAAGGCTAAAGTTTCAACAATATAGAAGTTACTCTGAGAAGATTAGTTGCTAAAACAAAGATCAGGTCAGGTCTTTACTATCTCAAAAAGAAAAAATATACTTTAAAATAGAGTAGTGCTCTAAGTGTTTAATAAACTGAGTAAGCTTATAAAAGCTTGTCTAACAACATCTCTCCTGAAAGGTCATGATTTTATATTTAAGGAAAAAACACCAATCAAAATGAAGTAGTTTATTTTAATAAAGTGAAGAAATTAATATTTTCATTCATTATAATTCAGATTTTTTTTACACGAAAATCTAGCACTAAGGGCTCAAAAAAGTTTGTTCAAGTATTTGCAGTTTAACTTAGATGCATCTGTTTCAGCTTTGTGTCTAACACCCTTAAAAACAACAGAATACTTAAAACCTAGTTTCCACTTCAGGAGTAAAAAGTTCCATTGAAAATCTGCTTGTCGGTATCTTCTAGCTAACCATAAAGCAGAGAAAACCAGATTCACAACCATTATTTTCATTAGTTTCCGTTATAAGTATTAGAAAACTGAAATGTAGTATCTGCCATTTGTAAACATAACCCATGCAGCTGACAGGATCAAAACATGAATTAATTCTTTAGAATACCTCAGAAATTTAAAAAATTTCTCTTCCATTTATAAAACACTTCAATAATCTGATTACATCTGTAGTTAGCAGAACTCCACAACAGCCTTTTGATCACATTAACATTCACCTTTAACCAAAAGCCATCTATTTACACTATGCCAGCATAGGACAACACATCGATAACTTCTCCACCTCTTTTCTATTAGAGGATGACTCATCTCCAGTGTAACAATGCATGTTAATGATGGCAAATCAAAGTCATCATTTACATAGGCCAATTATTGTGCATAGTGCAGCAGACGACTGCTTTAAACATCAGCTATACTTTTCCATTCTTCAAAGCAAACTAGGAAAAAAAACACATTAAGGAAAATATTCAAAGCCCTCAAAAGACAGCATCAAGTACTGGTGGAATTTAGGAAATTTCTCAGTCCAACCCCACTTCCTTCAATTAAGGAGTAAACCCTTAGAAAGTCAGACTATTTAGATTTCCCCCAGAAAAGACTAAGAAGCTTATCAATATCACTGTGTATATTCTACTTCCAGCAAATATTAGTTAACCTACAAAGCTGTTAACAAAAACAGCAGAAGATTTGTACAACCTGAAAGTGATTTAATTTTGAAAGACGACTAGATTTTGCTCTTGTAAACTCTGCCACAGAAGATGCCATTTTTTGTGGCTAAAAAAATACAGCAGCTTGAATATAAATTGAACTACTTTTATGTCAAAAGATCAAAAACAATTCTGCCTGCATGAAGTCTTTTAAAATAGCCATCAAAAGTAGAAAGCTAGATGAATGATTCATTTGAAGGACTGCTGTGGGGGAAAGAAGGGTAAAAGCCTTAAGAGATTTTATGAGCCACCATCAGAAATAAGACCAAAACAGTCACATGGCAAATTTCAAGGCAGATTTAAATACAAAGGGGACAACCCCAAAGAAAACAGACCACAGTCAAAAAAGATACCTTACATTGGGTGCAAAAAACCCAATTATTCAGGTATTACTCCTAGTATAAAAAAATCTGAGCTGTTTAAGTTTACATTCATCTTTCGCAACACCACCCACAAATACGAAGACAGATAATTGTAGTAGGTCTCATTTTTAGAAATATAGTCAATACAGAGCTCTGAATAGTTATCAGCAATATTGATAAGATGCGAACACAGGACAGCTATTTGTCTCTTCTATCAATTACTGAGCACTGTCAAGCCCTTTTATAAGCATATCATGCATACATAATATAGTTCTTTATGTAAAAGAACCTTAAAGTTTGCCAGACTGAAAACAATTCAGAGCTTCAGCCTAAAGTCTAGACCATTTTGAAGGCCATAAATCTTTTCCTGAGATCAATTTCTTAAACAAAAGACCAAAAAGTGATCAATAAAATTGATGGTGACCTTAAACTGCAGCATCAGTATTGCAATGCCATGTGTAATTCAGATAGTGTGACCCTGGTTTCATTAAGACACCAAGCTAATGCAATCATGCTAGATTTGTTCTTCCAAAGTGGTCTCTCCCTTTCTCTCACCCTGCATATAAACAGGTTTTGAACACATTCTCAGTTTCAGTCAAGCTTCACAGATGAATAAAGATTACAGAAAGTTAGTGCTACCAGTCTCTTAAGAGGCCTGCAAAGACGGATCATCAGGGAAAACTCCACCATTATCTTTCTGCTTGCTAATCACTACTCAAACAGCTCCAAGTTATTCACAATACATCTTCTGTCCAGGCAGCAGTTCAGGGAGAGATGGGTAGTAATATAGCAGCTAAGTACTATACTGGATCTCAAACAAAATTAAGTAATCAAAATTGACAAGAGGATACAGAAAATAAGCCTACAAGATCAAATTCCACTGGTAACAGCGCTCATCGAACAGCTTATATTCACATCTTAAGATCTGAACTTCAGTGCAATTATGAAGAAAGTAATTCTGCATTTGTATTCTACTAAACTGTGTAACATAGTAGCTTCTCTGTGTATTTGTATGGCAGACATGCACTAAAGTAACATGTCAGATGCCAAACCATTCTCTAGTGAAGTCTAGAGGTTTTTTCCTTTTCATTTAGGGGCTTCTAGATCCACATTAAAGCAAATGGAAGATTGTGAACTAATTAATTGAAATGCATTGTTATACATTGTTTCTCTAAAGAGTCATTTTTCAAAAAAGTTTAGTAAGCTGCAACGTAATGTTTGTTTCCTGAAAGTAGCCACAAAGCTTAGTATTAGACCAAAACAAATGCCTCAAACCATCAAAATACTGAGCAGCTTACTATAGCAGAGTATTCATATAAAACATAGGGAATGTTATAACAAGAAAAAATTTCATTTATCTTACCTTCAGGTGCATCTGCATCACAGTCTTTTGATACAAATGTTGTCACATTCCTCAACCGGCCATCAATTGTCTTATTACTCTGCTTCATAAATAAATATGCAAGATCAATACACATGTCTACAAGCAGTGTTTTTATACACAGTGATGGTTCCCAAAACAAGCATCTTTCAATAAATTGTTTATAAAACAAGCTGTGACAAACCTTTTACAATATGCAGAGCGCTAAGACTGTTCCTGAACAGTATGGTGTTATTGTGTACACCATCACTTCAGAGTGATGTAACAAAAGTTTCTAAATAAGTACTCAACTAAAAATACTCAGAGTTAGTCTGTGTTTTTTTTTTAAAAACCTCATGTAAAATAAAAATTATCTCCAAAACTAAGTCTTTTAACTTTACATAAGAAGAATTTGGAATTCATCTCTGGTGATGAAGACACCACACATTAGGCTTGCCTAATGACACTGAATAGAGAGTCTTCCTGGTCTAAAAGCAAGACAGTATCCAAAGTGCTTAACTAGGCAGAGTAGAGGAAGACCAGTTACTGAAGTGAACTGTTGTGGACCTAAACATTCCTGTTCAAGTATTTCTGAAATTGTTTACACCTTTGAAACACTGACCCTTTCAGAGGCCACATTAAGTCTTTATACTCCAGCCTTACTTTTGAATCATCAAGTCGCAAGCAAACCCTACTGCACTGGTATCTACACTTAAACTCACTCACTTCCAGTTTCTTCTCTATTGTGCTTATGATTTCCTAAAGGGGAAGTTCTCCTGAGAGAATCAGTAAGGGTCTATCCCTTTTCTCCTGCAGCCTGAAGAAAACACGTCCCTTAAACTCACAAGAAACCAACACAAGCTAGTACATAGAACTGTCTGATAACTTACTTCAGAAAGTTTACTGAATGTTTAAATTCAGCTTTCACCCTGAAGACTCAAGAAAAACCACCAAGTTTTCCCAAAAGCAATTTGAGTAAGCAGCTAACTTACATTTCATGCAACAGATTCATGAAAGTGGAGATCAGTATTGTCTTAAGAGAAAGTTATGAAAGGAGCATGATTAGACACAGGAATCAGGGACCAAAGTGGAAATGTAGTAGTAAAAGAACAATACATAGATAGAAGCAATAGGATAAGAACACAAAAAATTCCAACTAATGAAAGTTTACATTTTTCACTGTGGCCCAGCTGCCATCAGGTATTTCCAGCTGGCTGTCATCATTACAGTTTACACTGCCCAAAGAGTACTTTTTTCAAGAGAACAGTAATAATACGGCATGAGTGCAAAGAATATAGAATAATGATCAGATTCTTACCATTTCACAATCTCCCCTTCCTCAACTCACATCTTGCTTTTAAAACATGAGATACTTAAAATAGAATATGAAAAAATAGCTAGAACTGCAGGTTTCCTTTAATGATTCCCATTGCTTTTTTCCTAGTCTATTATTCTCATCCTCCATGAACACTCAGCTTAGACTCTCCATGTATCTGAATTCAACTCAGAATACTTTCTACAAGCTCAAGGCTTGCACTGTACCTTGAAGTCATAAAACTGGCCTCTCTTCTTCCAGCAATCATTCCTC